CTTAGCCTCTTTTGTGTCTCAAATTGGCCAGAATTGTACTCTCAAAACACTTTACTGGCAAGGGAGATAGGATTATCTAATTGGAAACCAATCAGGATTTACTCCTGGATTGTATTGAGGAGAGGAGAACAGGATGACAGAGAAGGAAATAGGACAGGCAAGGCCAAAATAAAAGCTGAATTTTAGCCAGTCTCTTAGTCCTCTATTTCTGCATATAAATCATCCAAAAGTTTAGTGGCTTAATTCTTTCATTTGTAGACATCTGAAAATTAAGTCATAAAAATAGCAAACAATTCATTTGACTTAGCAAATAATTTGATAACAGATTATTCACTTTTTCAAAAGCCTGTAAATTACAGAAGCATTTGAAGATGAAGTTATTAAATAGCCATTCCCCTCTTTTCATCAAAGCAGATAGGAAAATGATGACATACATTCTTTGTAATGTCACTTTTTTACACTGAATAGGACTTCTAGTTCTCTTTTATTTTTTTTTATATATATAAGGCAAGAACATTTTTAAGTGGTGGCTATACCCATGGACTCCCTTTTGCAATGGTATCTTCCACTTTTTGTTTGTTTGTCTGGCAGTGATTAGGGCTCTGACCTCATCAGTGGATTAATCCATTTGCTGGCACTCAAGATTGAACCCAAGGGTACTTAACCACTGAGTCACATCCCTAGCCCTTTTTTATATTTTATTTAGAGACAGGATCTAAGTTTCTTAGGGCCTCACTAAATTGCTGAGGCTGTCTTTGAAGTGATCCTCCTGCCTCAGCCTCCCGAGCCGCTGAGGTTGCAGGCTTGAGCCACTGTGCCCAGGGTACCTTCCATATTCTAATAAATGTATCAGTGCCCCTGTAACAACAGCTGTCAGATGATGAGTGCTGGCACATATACTACCTCCCTCCCCACTTTTATCAAGACACCCATGGAATTGCTTGCACACAATCTAATGTATTCCAACTCCATTTCGGTGAATCATAGAGCGCTAAAGCCAGAATTACAGTCTCTTCAATTGACAGATGAAGACACTGAGACCCTAGAGTCTAGAGAACTTTCCAGAAGTTGTCATGCTAGTGATGTTAGTGGGATCTCACTATCTTGTTTCCTGGTTGATCACCCTTTATGCCACACAGTGCTATTAATGATTAACTTTAAGGACAGAACTAACTCTAACCAGGTTAGCAAGTCAGATTCTTTAACAGGACTTGGTGACACCCACTCAGCCAGGTTCCCCCATAGGGTCAGAATTTGCACTGACTCCTCAAGGACGACAGGTGTGTCCTCTAACCTGCAGCCCATCCTCCCCAGAAGTCCCACCTACTCCTCCCCTCCCCCACCACTCACAGGGATCTGAGGTCTCCCCAGATCTTATTTTATTATGTGCCCCACTATCCCATACAAAGCTGGAGCTCAAGGACATACTTGACAAGGTGCTTTTGTCCCCGCTCCATTCAGCCAGCCTTTGAAGAAAGAACACAGCTGAGGACACACTGCTGGCCATATGGTCACCCTCACTGTGAGTTTAAAGCCAAATCTCAAGATGGGAATCTTATAGTTCAGTCATAGAGTAGGTTTTTGCTTCTCAAACGTTGTTGAATTTTCACCCTTGGATTAATTGTTTGGATTTCAAAACCCTGGAGCCTCTTCTCTTTTAATATGGATTTGTTCCATTTGCAACATTCATTCAAACCCACAACACATTTGTTCAAATCATACATTTCTAAATAGGAAAACATAAAATGTGCTCCCATTCATTAACATTTTTAAACCATGAAAACACAACTAAAAATGGTGCCTGGCTGCTACTTTTCTTCCTCTTCTTCCTTTCCCCCTCCTCGTTTTTCCCTTTCTTCTTTTTTACCCAACAATTGCTATAATCCACACTAACGAAGTAGACTGTGTTAAGAATTTTCTTCACTTAACATTTCTCATTATTAATAAATTTTGCACTGACAACTATAAAGTGAACACTTTGGATTTATGCACCTAACCTAATTACATATGCCGCATGTACGCATTTCATTATTTACTTGACAGATTCATTCCTTGATATCATAAATAATTAAACAAGAATCAAATATTAACAATCAGATGCATGTTAATTCTCCTCAAATCTGTAGAAACAAACTATATTTTTATCTTCAGTTCAACAAGCACTGATTAAAATTTCTTCATTAGGCAAATTTCATAAACAAAGTTCTTGATCTACTTTTACTTTCATTGAAAATTAAACCTGGAACAAATTATCCCAGGATTCCTTCATGGGGAAAAAAATGAATATAACAGCATTTCTAACAAAACCATTGGTATTGCAATCTTTCATGAGCACTGTTATATCCTATATATGAAACATTAATCTGTGTGTTTGTTAGGAATTTCCAAATACAATTTTTATTATGATCTAGAAACTAGCACCATAGTGGTTGTTAGTAGTATTATTACCAAAGGTGTCTTGTCTGGTGAGATGATGGTTTTAACCAAACAATTATTTTATAACTTGTTTAAAGAATACTTTCCAGACATTATGGATAATGGTAGAACTCAATTTATCTGAGCTGAAAATTTACTTTGGGGTCAAAGTATAGCTGTTGCTTCTTCCATTTTAATGAGTGAGGTTTAAATTTTTTTATTCATGTATATCAACATCTTCATTGATCAAACTTTTCTCACATTTTATCAAATTTGCTTTGGTAGAGCATACCATACAATTTCATCATTTAAAAAATATTAAAGATTCATAGATAGCCACATTACTCATAATACAAGATTAATGCCAGTCTGACAGGTTTTTGTAAAGATCTGACTCTTTTTTTCCTAAGTGCACATACCATATCTATGTGAGATGTACCTCTGATGCTGCATATTGATTACTCCCTTCTCTTCTCTTCTAATGCTAAAGAGAAAATATTATAGAATGATTGTCAGGGTTAGTGTGTCTCTGACCTACACATGTACTATTAATAATTTATGAGCTGATTTGAAATACAGCACCGGGAAAACAACAGACTTAGGACCACTGCCGCTGTCTAGAGTGACATCCATTCGGGGCTGACAACATGTGAACCCATGTTTTGAGATTCTGTTTGTTAAAATGCATCAAGACAAAATTCTCCAAGTCCCAGAGTTAACTGATTGGAAGGAAGCCCTGCTACTTTGTTAGAAATTTCAAGTACATTTATCACTTTTCATCTGATCCTTTCCATGACATGAGATTTCCTTTTAAAATTATATAATCAGGGTGTTAATTTATAGTGTCTACAAACACTAGAGAATCTAAGTTCAAATAACATGGAGGTATGAAAAGCAAAAACCAGCGCTTTCTCCTATTTTCCCCACGCTTCACAGCCAGAGCCTGTCTGGTATGTCTCCTTCCAGACTGTTTTCCATGCTCCTGCCAATATAGGGGAGGTCGTCTCCTCTACCCTCAGGAGTAGCATTGCACTTGACAGACTTGCTTCTTCCACTCCACAGAACCTCCCACATCCATCTGGAGCTCATTTTTTTGAATAACAAAAGAGTGTTCCATTTTATGGATATGTGGAGGCTCATTTCCAGTGCCCCTACTAATGCATTGCTAAGGTCTCTCACGATTGAAAAACAAAAAATGGTGCCACCTTCACTGGAAATCCATGCTTACAAACTTACTGGCCCACTTACTTGGCTGAGATAGATTCCCAGAAGTAGAATTGCTAAATCAATAACTGAAAATCTCCATAGACTATTAATTAGGCAAGAATATATAAATACTCCTTTTAGGATTTAAATAGCATTATGCTTCATTAATAGATAAGCTCATAACATTTTAAGTACACTTTTGAGGGAGTATACTTTTAAAACTTTAATAATATGGAGTCATTTGGGAAAAGATGAAAATTTTAGTTACATGAATTTCATGTGTGAGTAGCTTTACATAAAAGCAAACTAAAGCCTACATTTTTAATGCTGTAGCAACATGTCATCAAGCTACATGTCTGTATATATTATTTTAAACATCAGTGTCCAAAGCAGCCAATCTTCATTTCAGCAATGCTACATATAACCAATGCTTTAAAATGTGTGTTGATAGAGATTGACAACTGTTCAACCACTGAATGCTTTTCAAAATATATTCAAAGAATTGTATGTTTGGAAACAGTTCATCTAGGACATCTAATTAAAAACAGTGTTGTTGGGTTTATTTGAGATCATCACAAGCAAGTGTATTTGTAAAATTCTCTGCTTTTCCCCTAAATTTGTTTGAAGCCTTCCACCAACAGTGCAATGGTTACCTAGAGTGTCTGTCAAGTTCTATTATATGAACTAGAATATGCTTTTAGAAAAGATGCCTTGCATCTGATGACAGGCACTTCCTATCTGCCAGGACTCAGAGAAATTGGAACATTGATCATTTCTTGTAGAGATTTTCTTTAGCAGGATGATAAAGGGAAACCTTGTTATGCCAAATGACTTACTAGTCAAAAGTAGCCAGGACATTGAAACCTGGAAACTAGTTAATGGTTTGTAACAAGTCAGAAATAAAGATGTTCAACCAAGAAAATGACATTAAGCAGCACTGGCTACAAGAGGAAAGAGCAGCCTGTCAGAATCATGCGAGGGCTGTGGTGACAGGTAGACAATAACATGGGATGACACTGGTTCCTCTCAGTGGGGGTGTTTTCAACAGCTTTCTCTTGGGAGTTTCCATGCACTTCCTTTGTAGGAAATCTTTCCTCTAAAAATGGCAGCAGACCCCTTGGAGGTCTTATTAAAATTCTTCTTCTGTGTTATAAAGTGCATTGTATGAGGCAGATGACAGTACCCGAACAGTTAATTCTTCATTGTATAAAGGAAAATGGGAACAACAGTCACGCCAGTGAGGTGGCCAGGCGGCTGACATATCCAGTAGCGCTGCACAGTAGGCATCGTGAAACGGGAAGAGAACCCAAGGGGAGCGTCAGTCCCCAAGCCCACCTAAAATGGCAGACAGCATGAATCCAAACAGAAGCGGTAGGCTATGTAATGAATATTTCATATTTCAGTTTGGTATCCATTGCATCTGCAAATGAGTTTCGCGAACTAGCTTAAACCTCCATAGTGTAGAGTCGGTGCAATAGCATCCTTGGGATCAACATGGTCTTCACTTTTAAGAGAAATTTCCTTCCATTCACTGTCTGCCACAAAAGTGCAACAGTGTACCTCAACCTGCCTCATTATGGGCTGTAAAGGACAGGTAACAGAGAATCGAAGGACAGCAAAGAACCCAACAATGGCTCCATGAGTTCCTTCATGTCAGTCACTTTGAGAACTGAATTTCGACCTTATTCAGAATAATGCTATTTTATTTAACCCTGTCCTAGTATAGTTATATCATTTCATGTATGTCTATTTAAAGTGTTATAATACCACTAATCTAATTTCCAATAGAGTAATAGCTGTTAGCACAGTCTTTTAAGCCATTTCTCTCTGTTTTTATTCTATTCCCAACATATCTTAGCTGTATATCAAAATAAACATTTCATAACCTTTTTCAGCTAAAATTTTTTTCCACTAATGTCATTTCAACCAGTGGGAGGTCTCTGTTTTCCACACAGCAGTTCTACATTTAAAATTATTTCTGCTATAGATTAGCTGTCCCTTGGTGAGCTATGAAAGACAAAAATCTTATGAAAGACAAAATCTTAGCCTCTTTAAGCCAATCTTGTTTGACAGCATGCAATATTTACATGAAATAAAAATCAAATATTTGTTCTTTTCCTACAAGCTGTCAGCACAAACTTGGGTTGTGTAGAAACCTATTCAGACAAACAGAATTGATGTTTACTACGTGATACATGATAAAAGGTGGATAATAAGTAACACCAAAGATTATTTTAAAAGGAAAAAATTAATGTGTCTTTTAAGAAACCAGAGGTGATCATGTTGTGCCATAAATTATAAGGTGCATCAACAACTAAAATTTCTTTGTTTATTTGCTTAACGAAGCATGGGCTTAATTTTTGCTGCTTATTTGCCAGAGTATTAACTTTAAGTCCATCACAAAGATATAGGTAAAAGAAAATGTTTGTTACTCTAAAAAGTTTCCAATTAAGGTCCTCCTTGAGATCTTCTCTCCAGGGAACTTTCTAATAGTTAATAGGAATGCACTCTGTAGTCAAGCAAGCTAAGCATCCCTGATATCACTGCCACCTAATTAGGGCCACAAAGTCACCACCTCCAGTTGCCCAACTAAGTCATGCTTCTGCTTAAGAAACTGGTCATTCCTAAATAAGTAGGAGCAGTGATTTGCTTAAAAAAAAAAAAAATTGCTTTCATGGCAAATTCTTCTCTCTGGGATTTGAACTATCATGGCTGCTCTGGGGTCTGCCTCAGGCTGGGGGCAAATTCCACTACCTTATACTTACTCTGCCTTGAACTCAAAAAGACAGACTCGTTCTGCTTCCTGTGGACAGTGTCCCATCTGCTGAACACACATTTAATACATAAACTCCATTTCCAGGAATAATACCTACCTGTATTAACAAGAAAATACCATCTCTACAAGATTCCCTGAAAAGAAACCCTGTCAGTGCCACTCATTCTACCTTCAAAGACAAGTCTTTGTAATTACTTTCTCCTCTTCATTGCCCTGTCTGGATAAAGCAACAAGATCAGGAGAGCCTATCCATTTTCCCCAGATACCTTCCAAAATGCATGTCTGCTTTGCAGGCTGAGATCAGAAATTTCATTATCTGTATTTGTATTAGTAATTCACTGCACAAAGAGAACAGGGGGCAGAGGAGGAGAGCAAGCATGGAAGCAAACATCAGACAGACAATTGTATATATGCAAATGCTTGCAAATTTCTGCCAGCCTCTCCCTACGTACAACCAAGCAACATGGAAGTCTATTCATCCTTCCAGCTTCTTTGCTGTCAAATATGGTTGTGGGCTTGAAAATATTCAGAAAATGTTAAACTTGCAGCCACCAGGACTAAATCAAACTCAAAATCTACAACATCAAAGGCTAATGCATAAATAAAATCAGGGATTTTCTAGAAAGAGAGGCTACAATGCAACCTCCTGGCTGCAGAGGATGAAAAAACCGAGATGTCCTGCAGGGGGCGGGGGAAGGGAATGGTTGCTGGTAGCTCTCCAACCCAACTAACAGCGAACTGAAATGTTGCTTCTTGTCTTTGAGGTTTTGCATTTGCATAAACAGCCTAAGCAAGAAGGCATATTTAAAACCAGAAACCGGCATGATAAAGAAAATGCCTCAAACTCAAATTCATAAATACAAGTGCTCACGTTCAAATAAATTTGCATGATGACTGAAAATGATGGCAAGAATCATCATATATTTTGTCTTAAAATCAATTATTCACAATTAATAAGGTTATAGACATCTGCATGACTTCCTTTAGTCTATACATTTATTCTAATCGTTGAAAATCAATAATAATAGTAATGGTTCACACAGAGATATGTCTTTCCCATGCAGTAATTCAATTCATCCTCAAAATTATGTTTGAAGGTATGGTCAGTTATACCCATTTTACTGATAAGGAACTGAGACTCAGAAGTTCAGTGATCTATTCAAATTCATATAACTAATAAGTAACAGGACTGGACTGACTGAATCCCAAGCACTGTCACACTGCTATATTTTGAGAGTCTCCTCCAAAATTGATCTTGGAACTTAATTGCCATTCTGAAGGTACTGAGAGGTGGACTTTTAAGAGGTAATTAGGTGATAAGAGCTCTAGCCTCATCAATGGATTAAGGCTGCTATCATGGGAATAAGTTAGCTAATCTGTGGGAGCAGGTTAGTTAGAAACAGATTCCTAATAAAAAGATGAATTTTGTCCAATTTTTCTGTATTGCATGTGCTCATTTGCCCTTCTGCCATGTTTTGACTTGGCAAGAAGGCCCTCACCAGAAGTAGCCTCTTAATCTTGGACTTTCCAACCTCCAGTAATGTGAATAAAATAAGCCTTTATTGTTTATAATTTACCCAGTCAATGGTATTCTATTACAGTAGCAGAAACAGACTAGAACACATACCATATACTGTACGATGCTACCAAAGAGAATTCATTCTATATCGGGTGGTCTGGGCCAATGTGACCTCTCTACAACATTGGACCCTATTGCCCATGGCTGCCTCTTTGAGACCTTCTGCCTTCTGTATTCTTCAGAGTTGTCCTTCATTGGTTTGCTTTCTAACTCTTGGATTTTCTGTCTGTCCACCCTCTTCTAGATCTACCATCAGTGAGCAATCTCACCCACTTCCATTATTGATTCAGTAAATATTTTTGAGTACCTCCCAGGTACCAGGCACTATTCCAAGTATATGGAATGATACAATGAACAACAGCCTATCCCCCTAGACAACTGCAACTTCCATTATCATGGGAGTGCAGAGGAGATAGAAACAAATAGATATCCATTTAGGTGTATGTGATAATTGTTAAAGACAATATAAAGTAGGGAAAGGGATGGAGAGGGTAAGGGCAGAGGAGTTGAGAAGGAGACTTCAATGTAGGGCCAAGGAAGGCTTCACTGAGATAATATTTGTATAAAGATGGCCAATTTATCCTCCTCCCCCCATTTTCATCTCTGGGCATGTCATTTCTTCCTGTAGCCACATTTCAAAATCATCACTGCCACACCTGAATTCATGCCCTTGTTCCTGCTACACTTCTTCCTGTGCTCCCCACTCTGGTTAACAATACCATGATGCATTGCCCCACAAACATGCACACAGTCAATAAAGATTTAAGGAGTACCTTCCAAGTGATGGCACTATTCTAGGTGCTAAGAGAACACACGGGTCTTGTAAGAGCTATTTTCTCTTTAAGAAGCTGTATCTAGGGAAACCACAGAAGGGGTGATCAAGGATTGACAAACAGCTGAATTATATCCCAAGTCTTCCATTCATGAGCAATAGGTCTGTCTAATATAATGGGGATAATGCTACCCACCTCAGATTAATGTTATAGAGATTAAATGCAACAACACAGACAAATTGAGCAAGTGGGTGAATCAATAAACAGTGAATAATGTGCTTACTGCAGTTCTTGACAAGAGAAGTACCCAGCAGGTTTAAACAGTGTCATCCTGGCCCACTCTCACCAGTGCTCAAGACGGTAGCAAGATAGCTTCCCACAGTTCCAAGTTTGCATCTTATCCCACCAACCCAGAGGATAAAAGACAGTTTCTTTTCTTAACAGTGATAAAAAGAAAATCATTGGTTTTGATGGGGTCACATGCCCACTTTTGAACCAATCATGTAAAGCTAGGAAAATACCATTGCTCTGGTTGGCCAGGCTTGGATTGCAGCCCCCTTTGATGATGGAGGTTGAATCAGCTTCATTCAAACCACAGGCACAAGGGCTGAAGGGATGGCCCCTGAGAAACACCTAGAGATGTGCAAGAAGAGAGCAGGGGGTGAGCAAAACAAAGGATACCCACTGCCCTCAACTACGGCACCTAGTACATTCTGTCTTGAATCATGGTTAGATATTTTCCTGTATATCTACCCTCAGATTGAGGTCCCCTGAAAACAAGGGCTGTATGCTTATCATCATAGCCCCTGGAGGACTCAGATCAATTTTCTGAATATACATGCTTAATAAATGTTTGTTAACATGAATCAATTCATTAAACTAGTCTAAACTGGTTCTCTAGTTCATTTAAATTCTGTGGTGTCTTGTTCTCTCTTTTTATTACACAAAAATACATAAAATCACAAACACACATATTTTGTAACACCTGAAAAGACCTAAGAGTCCAACAGCAGAAGCAAATAAACCATCTTCATCATTTACACACATATTGACTTTCTGGTCTCTAAAATCCTTATCTCAACTAGTTATACACAGCTGAGAAAAAGAGCAAGATTCTGTGGTGTTTTTCTAAGCCACTTCATTTTGCCATTCTGTTTCTATTCAGTAAATATTGCATTTGCTGAAAATACAAAAGCATAAGACTCACAGTAGCTTCTCAGGAGGTCTCAGTATGTGATCATCATCATTTGGATTTTACTACAGTGTAGAAATGTCTTTGGTCTTTTCTTGAATAATTTAATTTCAATCTCTATAATCTTTTTCAAGTCTCCTCCCCACCTCCAATTCTGTACTTTCAAGAGAGGCACAACTGCCCAGTTTTGTTTGTGGCTAAATGTGGTGTGTGACTGAGTCATACAGTGATGTGGACAACTTTCAGATAATCTTAAAGATGTCTGGGTTTGACTTTAAATAGTACAGCAAAGGGGGAGGGCATCTTTGGAGGAAACAGATGACACCTTTTGGCCATATAAAGATAACTGTTGAAGCTGAGCGAAGGGTGCATATGGATATGGAGATATATGATATTTTTTGTGTGTGTTTCAAAAATTCCTATTGGAAAACAAATTAAAAGGAGTCTCCCCCAGCCATGCTCTTCCTTTTCCTTCTTTCTGGCTGTAGAGGGGACTGATTGGACCAATCTCAGAAAGCACACCTTGTGGGTGGCACAGCCTTTCCACCAACCTGGGTCCCTGAATGTCTTCCTGGAACCAAGATTGCCCACCTGCTTTGGAGAATTATCTGAGAGAAATGGATTTTTTTTCCTCCCATTTGAGCCATTACAACCTGGGGGTTCTTTGTTACAGTTTCTGTGTTCTCCAGATAACACTACCTCTTTTTTATTTCCATTCTATTTCAAAACAATCTCTTTTAACAGACAGTACAATCTCTCCTGCCTTAACCAACACTCTCCTTTTTTCTGGCTCTGTTACAGGTCAACACAATGCTAGAAGTCAATAAGTTTTACTATGGTTACATTTTTTGGTTATTGTTCTTGCTCTGGAGGTCAAGCTCAACCACAAGCTCTACAATACCTACATCCACTAAAAATAACCTTAAATTAAATTGCTCAAAATACAGATCACTGACAAAGCCTTTCCACGTATGTCACATTTGAGTTTGGAAGTCAATTATTTAATATAGTTATAAACAAGCTTTTGACTCAGAAAAGTACCAGAAATTACAGAAGCAAAACTGAGGATGAAATAATAATGTTAAGCACATTTCAAATAGAGAATGAAAGGTTAAAGAAATTTTAATTTAAAAAAAATATATAAAGTACAGTAATATTGTAAATTGTAATATTGTAAGTAATATTGTGTGGTGAGTGGTGCTGGCAGACTGTCTTTAACTGCAAGCGTATATTCGATCACACCAATCATCAAATACAAACAATCAATGTAAAAAGTGTTGGGTGTGTAGGAACACCCCAACTATCATTGGATGCCCACTAACTAAACACTATAAGCAAATCACACAATCCTAGGGCAACCACGAGCTCCCAAATACCTCCAATGCCACACGATTTCTCTTAGCCAAAGAACAGACATTGTCTGGTGGTTCTCTCCAGCTGATGGCTGGACATCAGGGAATGGTGAGGTCAGTCCAGGGATGGACAGCAAGGAGGCCAGTCTCATCAATATTCTGTTGTACGTTGGTGATTGGTTTCACCCAGTGAAAATCAATGTCCATTGGTTATGTCCGGTGAGGTGATGTAACTGCAGCTGGGTGTGTTCTTTGTGCATGTCCATGGAGCTGTGCTCCCCATCAATTGTAACCAGTCATTGCTAAGGATGCCTATGGCTAGTGCCCCTTACAGCTCTTTATCAATTACAAGCAGACATGACTAAGCAGTTCAATGGCTGCTGTTCCTTATGTCCAGCAAGTTAGTGAGTCCCAGCATGTCCCAGCATGTCTATAGCAGATGCTCCTTACAATTTATAAACTACCTTGTAGGTTGACTCTGACCTGTAGACCTGTTTTTGTCTTTCTCTTTCCAACACTGAAACGGTTCAACAGTGTTTTCAGGTGTCCTCCTGCCCTGGTAACCTCACTCCAAGCCCTCTTACACATTTACCCTAAGGACTAAGGGACTTGCCTATAGGCTGGGCTGAACATAGAACATAGGGCATGTGGACATAAAAATGATTTTCTCAAAGAAGTGGTTAATATTTGTCTATTGTTCCTTAGAAATAAGATTGCTTCTCACACCATGGCTTTCAGGGGAGGTCTCCTTCAGGTCAGGAGATGAACGTGATAGGTAGACCTACAAAGAGGAAAACAAAAATTGGATTCAAGACAGTGCCCATTACTTATTGAACCTAAACAGAATTATGAGTTTCAGGAAGCTATCTACATGGCCTTCACTCTGTTCACTACCACGACAGACAACTGGTAACGGCTGCTCGCACCCTCCAGCCCAGCAGGCTCTACCATCTGTCCCAGCCTCCACTCCAGGAGAACTTCTCTCTCTTCCAGACCAGTTCCTAGACTGTGCTGTGGGATTAGGGTGAGGAGAAACCCAGCAGATGGGATACTACCATGTCACATGTACCCTGAGAGCTGCTGGGAGAAGATGGGGAAGCTGGAGGGGTGGTGAAAGGGGGGAGAACAGAGCCAGTGTGGGCTGGGCTGGGTCTGGAAGTCTGGAAAGTTGTCAAGAGTTTGAAAAGAAGCTGAAGAAGGAAAGGGACATGAAGAAGGAAGGAAGGAAGAGAGAGAGAGGGAAGACAGAGGCTTTGTGTTTTTTGTTTATTTTGTTTTGATATCAGGGATTGAACCCAGTGGGGCTTAACCACTGAGTCACATTCCCAGCCCTTTTTTATATATTTTGTTGTTGTTGTTAATTTAGAGACATAGTCTCACTAAGTTGGTTAGTGCCTCACTAAGTAGCTGAAGCTGGCTTTGACTCACCATCCTCCTGCCTCAGCCCCCAGAGCCATTGGGATTACAGGCATGAGCCATCATGCCTGGCTGGACAGAGGCTTTTTTTTTTTTTTTTTTTTTAAGAGAGAGAGAGGGAGAGAGAGAGAATTTTTTTAATATTTATTTTTTAGTTTTTGGTGGACACAATATCTTTGTTTGTATGTGGTGCTGAGGATCGAACCCGGGCCGCACGCATGCCAGGTGAGCGCACTACCGCTTGAGCCACATCCCCAGCCCAAGACAGAGGCTTTTTTTTAAAGAAGTTTAACAGGGTTAAAATTCAACTTCTTGGTGTTTTTTAGGAGATCTTAGCAAAGCTTTAAATTAGTTTTTCAATGACGTCTTTGAAAAATATGTTTTAGTTATAGATGAACACAATACCTTTATTTATTTATTTTTATATGGTGCTGAGGATTGAACCCAGTGCCTCACACATGCCAGGCGAGTGCTCTACCACTGAGCCACAACCCCAGCCCCGTCAATGACTTTTTAAAAGTCAGACTGGCTCTAGCCTTATATGGGGTTCTATAACACAGCAGTAGACATTTGGAGAAAGCACTAACCTATCCATATTGCTAGGGTGACAGCCTCTCAGATACTTCAATTTGCTCACTGGCCATTTATTGAGTGCCCACTCCACCATACATACACTATGCTAGGTGCAGTGTCTAATGAGAAACAAATCAACCAAAAGAAATATTTAACCAAAATATTTCACTGAATGATCTCTTGGTCAAGGAGAAAAACAGTCCCAAGGAAAGCTTTTTTTGAACGTCATATAGACCTCATGAATGGGTAGTGACATCACCATTTCAGTGGCCTGCCAAGGAGAAATGAGAACCAAGACACTATTACTTGGAAAGAAGTACACAGAGGGTTTTTGTTTACCCTTGGGAAATCTGATGTTTCCCAAATCCAAGAACACAGACATCTCTTAATCACCTACTACTCTGCTCTAAGCTCTTCTGCCACAGGAAAGGGGCTTTAAGAAGGGTCTGAGGGCCTCTTATGTACCATTTGATAGTAACTCATCATAAACTCTAGAATGTGCTCTTGTAGTCAACTGTGGGCTGGTGCTGGGGAAGGGAAAGAGGGTCCAAAATGAAATGAAGTCCTCACCCTCCAGGGACTATTGCTGAAGAAAGGCACAGACAGGTGATGGGCTCTGGATGCTGTCAGAGAGGCATGTAGAGTTTAGGAAGCATATCAGGCCACCAAAATACAGAGGGAATCTGGCTGGGTATGGGCAGAGCAAGTGTCAGAGCACAGGGAATATTTAATCAGAGTCCTGGATAACTAGTAGGAACTGGCCAAGCAAGAGGGCTTTGGGAGGGGCAGAAAGAGACCTTCCCAAGCAGACAGAATATGCAGTGATTTCACTTGCACCTCATACCTACTGCCATGCTGCAGTATTATCTCAGATTATAAAGAAGCAAACTCTGAAAAGTGACTTGCCCCAGGTCACTCATTTTGTAAGCAGTGAAACTGACATTTAAACATAGCACCATACGTATCATCTGCCTCTCTAGACAACCTGGTCTCTAAAGAGTAATCTTTCTCACTTAGTGATATCCACTTATATCTCGCACCCTGGCCTCAAAAACACCCATGGTGAATGCAAGTGTCTCTTAATCATTCTAAGAAGAAATCCAAAGTAGTATAGTTTTAAAAAGATCACAGAAGTTTAGATTCTCCTCTTCAAATCAGTTTAGAGAAACTGCATACAGTCACACACACAGAGTCACAGGGAATGGTAACATATCAAAGTCACTGAGATGTCGTGCAGAAAATCAATGTTAAACTTTGCTTACCCCAATGTCTGAAATGCAATTGACTATGAAAACCTCATCCTGTTTTCCTACCCCCTTTCTTTTTAACAGTTGCATCCCTCAGAACTAGTGTTCTAGGAAACACCTTTAGGATATTCTGATTTAGTCTTATTGTACTGATGAGGACACTGAGGTCCAAAGAATTTGGGACCTGCCTTTAAGTAAAAAAAAAAGCCAGAATCAATTCACCAGACCTGCTTCCAGATCCATACTCTTCTCTAGTAAATCTCTTTCCAGACCCACACCCTCTGATAAATCGCACTTCAACATGTCTATTCCATACCTCTGATGAATAAACAGCACAAGCAGCACAGGAGTTGACAACCTTGCAATTGTCAACTTACAAATCACCCATTTAAAAAAATACAAAGAAATCCCTAGGTGAGAGCTGAGATCGTGTACACAAACTTTGAGTATGTTTATAAACACTATTAATCGCCCTTGTCATGGTTTATACTAGTTCTTCCAGCCTGGCTGATATCAGTTGTTTATCTTCATTGCCATCCACTGAAATAATAATACCAATAACAACTTCTAGCTCTCATTTTGCCCTCAATGTGAAGGATAACATTAATATATTGCTGCACATTTCTAGTGTTTATCTTTATACATACATTTAAATGGAACAAAAACTGAAGAAATCACTCGTTAACAAGATAATCAAAATCAAACCTCTGTACCAAGTATTTCATTGATATATTAAATCCCATTATCACTAACTAAAAAAAATTATTTGTTTTGGAATTTGGCTGGAATCAAGACAACCAAAAACAGATAGAGGGTCTGGACTGAAAAATTTTAAAGGTAATAAGCAAATTAAAAACATATTTCAAGGATACTCAGTACAAAATTTTGAGAAGTATTTATGAATAGCAACATACTATGAAAGGTCAATTGGATTTTCTTTCTAGTAAGTTAAATATTCAGTGCTTGTGCTCTGCATTTGTTACCAAAGTCTTCTTTATCAGCAGAAGAAGGCAAATGATACCCTGCAAATGTTTTAAACGTGCAACTTTGCTTATCTTCCTGTATTAATGTTCCTTATGGCAGTTGCTATATTAACCTTATCACACAGCACAGCAAAAGGGAGACCTATTGTGAAGGGAGGGGGGAAAACATTTCATTTAATCTCTGGGACCATTTTTTTTTTTAGTTGTTGATAGATCTTTGTGTGTGTGTGTGTGTGTGTGTGTATCTGAGAATTGAACCCAGTGCTTCACACATGCCAGGCAAGCGCGCTACTGCTGAGCCCCAGCCCCAACCCCTGGGACCTTTTATTAACCTAGCAGTTTTCTGATTGTCAAGAGGGGAAAAATTAAAGTTAGGCTTTTACTAGGTTTTCTTAAAATCTCAAAGAGAAACTAGACATTTGCAAATGGGTAATTCATTAAACACCATACAATGTGAAGAGGACACAGATTAGATTATCGACTAAATGCTCATTATGTGAGTTCTGGGTTTCACAGGGTCCACTAAGAGCCTTGACAAGGAGACAGGAAGTGGCTCCTCCTGAGAAAGTCAATCTCTCCTTCAGAGCTTGAATCGCTCATTTATGGATGTGACACTACAGGAAATCCCATCTGCCCCTGGTAAGACTTCTATTTTCCTCTTCATACACTATCTGTGTAGACATGGAGGAAATTCAAAGGCTCCATCTTTTAATTTCTTTTTAACTTTGACAACAATATGTAACCTGACCTGAGCCCTTTTCTCTTGAGGTGCTTGATAAAGCATCTAAACTTTATGACTGAAATTAATATTTTCATTCAACTGCAAATGCTTGAACTCAACACACATATTAGCTGGGTGAACATACGCCTCTTCTGTTTCTTATGCCAGGTAATATGCTTTTTCCTTTTTTTTTTTTTCATTATCCCTTTAATGCAGAGCAGGGCTACTGATTACAAAGAGGCAGTTTGACTTCAGCAATAGGTCTTCTTCACTAATCCTCACTGTCATGGAAATTCCAGCTGCTACAAGAATAAGAGGCTCAATCCATATTTGCCAGCTCTAATATGAAATCTGTCAGAGCCCAAATTAATGAGTTCCAAATTCCTTACATCACGATAACAGGTTAAGACTGGTCAATTAATTACATAAATCCTTCCCGATTCATTGTGCGTTTGCAGCCCAGATTGTGTCTTACATTACTCCATGACACAAGGCCTTTTGGCTCCTGTTGTTCCGCAGAAAGGCCCCATTTAAGTGGAGGCTGACTGCCATGGCAAAATGTTAAATGTCACACGTTAAATTTGCACTTTTCTGTAATTGCTTTTGTTAAAAAAAAAAAAATTAAATGAAAGCCCAGGGCTCCCAGTGTACCACTGTGCAGACGGCTGGAATTGTACTGAATGAATCCTAGGAAAGGCAAGTACCTGTTTTATCTCCAACAGTTCACACAGAGCCCTCTGTAACCAATTCTCTATAGGTAGTGGAACCCAAAGACACATATATTTGTGAAAATAACCAAGTTTCCTGAGATCTGTAGCAATAAAAAATACACATTTGGAAGATGTTTTGCTTTATTAAAGGATTAAAATGGGCTTCTCTACATGACTTCCCTTGTCTGTGTGTATACACACACACACACACACTCACTACCTGTGAACCTACTCACTTGAAAAGAACTCACTACCTGTGAACCTAATCACTTGAAAAGAAAAAAATATATTATACAAGCATGTATAATATATTTGTGTTAGGTCTTGCCTCTAAAAAGATGTTCCTCCTGGCTTTGCTATTTGGATTTGTAAATGTAATGTTAACAGAGGGTAGAAGAATTGAGGGCCTAGAACAACTCAAAATCATCCAGGTCAAAGCTTTTCCTTCTTAAAACGTCAAGATGTGCTTGGAATCAAGCCAGTGGGAACTCGACCTGGAACTATAACCTCAGGATTCCTAGCATAGTCTCCCTTCAAGCCACTGCATTTCTTTGTGGGGTTTTTGCAGATAGGTGTTCTGTACCGAATGCAACCCGTTAGGGTTGTTTCCTGAATCATTTTACGAGCGAATAGATGATTCTCTGAGCACAAACTGAAACCTATAAGGGCTGCAAGTGCTTTCCACTGGGGAAACACTTCGGACCGGAACATTTCAGACACAGACAACTAGCCAGACCCAAGGCTGCAGGTTCTCGGGCTGACTGTCCTCTGCGGCCGCCGCACTGACCCTGCAGCGCCGCCCTCTGTCCGCCAGAGGCCTTGCACCTAGTAGTCAACGGCCGAGCGCTTCTTTATTCTGGGGCAAAAAAAAAAAAAAGGAAAAAAAGAAAAGAAAAAGAAAAAAGCTTCTCTCTTCTGTCCCCAACCCAATGGGATAGGGGTTTTGTAGCTCTTCGCCCGTGTACGTACACACACACACACACCAATCTCACCCACGGCCCAGTCGCACCAGGCTCGACTGTACCCTCCCTCTCCAAATGAAAAGAGGCAGGTTAACACGACGACACACCGGCCAGGAAGGTTTTAGGCTCCCGGGGGGACTGGAAGAGACCGGGGTTAACATGTGCAGTGCAAGTGCAGATGAAAACACTGAGGATGCGGGGGTTTGCCCTAGCCCAGCCGCGTCCAGGGCGCTCAGGGGAACGCCCAGGCCATAGCCGCATCCAGGCTGAGCACCGTCGGTCTCTTGGGCGCAAGAGAGAGCTGTGCAGCGCGAGCATCTGCAGAACAAAGACACGGGTTCGGCCCCAAGCTGGGGGACGCCGCCTGCCTCCGCCCAGCGCTGCCCGCCCGGACCCAGCCAACGGGCGGCGGGGCCCCCAGCTCCGCGCGCGCGCGCTCTCGAGACCGGCAGAGGCCCCCGCAGCGTGGAAACCCGGAGACCCGGAGGGTCACGGGTATTCAAGTTGCCTTCAACCCCAAACCCTCCATCCGAGGGCCTTTTGCAATACTATTATTTTATTATTGCTTCTCTTTCCTAAGCAACCAGAGTTGTCATTTTAACCCTGGAAGGGGGCCTCGTGATGCCCACGCTTGAAGCAGGTGGGGCAGGGAGCTGAGGTCTGTGCTGTAAATCGCTGTCTTTTTGTGGTGGTTGTTCCCACTCACCACCCGCCGCCCCCCTCCACCCGTTTTTTTTTTCCCCTCCCCTTTCCGCAGCGCAGTTGCTATGGGTTACCAGGGCGGTTGCCATGGGTTACCGGTCCGAGGCCGGTTGGCTCGCTACCTGCTACCCAGTCGCCGGCGGCGGCGGCGGAGCGGCCAGGGAGGGGAGGAGGCGAGAGCGCGCGTGTGCGGGACGCGGCGCGGGGGAGTGTGCGCAAGCCGCTGAGGCGCCGCAGCCAACAGGCGGCGGAGGGTGCAGCCGCTGGAGCGCCACCGCCGGTGGGGTGGGGGGCAAGGCTATAAAGAAGGCCCAGAGGTAAGAAACTAGCAAAAACACAACCACAAGTTATGCCCGTGCTGTGCCTCTAGCAGCAAAGACAAGCGGTGTGGGGTTTTGGATGCATCTACACTTCTCGTCGGGGGAGAAAGGGTATTTTCCTCTTTAGCATAAACCATTTGCATAGTGTCTTTAGACCAGCGTTTAAATTCAGCAGAAAATTGTGGCTTTTTTTTTTTTCCTCTTTTTCTCTGTATCGTTTGAAAAGAAGTCTTTGGAATTTCAGAGAAAGAGAAAGGGTCATTAACGACTAGAGTTTGTACAGCTAAAATAAATTAGTGTCCAATGCACTGTTCATAACACGGATCTAGAAAAGTTTCCAGCAAGAGTGAAGAGCAATTGTGTCTGACTTAAAGGGACAATGGTGACTCGTTTGTAAGATGCATACGGCAAAGAATAGAGCCAAAATCCTTTGTAAATATATCAAATTGTAAAGAAATTGTTTCTTATTTACATCCTAAATTTTCTGAACTCCAGTTCTAAAACTTATGTTTCTTATGACCTTTATTTGCAAAGATAATTGTATGTATGCTTTTAATGTCAAATTGCAATAACTAACTTCAGACAGTATTTGTATTTGAAACTGTGTTTATATATAAGAAAGTAAGAAAGGGTCTATATTCCAAAACAAAACCACAAATTTGTACTGAAATAAATCATTTCCTCTGTTGAAAAGATGCTGCATTACATTTCGATATTAAGAGAGAGACTATTTTAGAAACAGAATAAGCTTTTGATATTTTAGAGGCCTTTCAGGAAAAGGGGTCTTCCTTATGTCTAAAAAAAAAAATGGTTCTTTACAGTTCAGATATTAAAAACCTTTTTTTTGTAGCAGAATTGTTCAATAATGATGAATCCTTAAAGCCCCCAAAATCATAAACTAAGTTCAAAACAACGTCCAGTTTACTGTTGGATATAATGGTAATTGTGTCTAAGCTAAATGAATTTATTTAAATTCTTAATTGTCATATATAAAGAAATTTTATTTTACTTTTATATGCTTCATACCTCTTGTTTCTATTGAATTATTCAATAAAATCTGATCTAGGCTTGAAAAGCACTGGCAAGATATCTAATATCTTAAGGTACAGCTGCATAAAGATAAGCATTTGTGTGTTTCCCTAGTAATTTTTTAGACTTGAAATTTCAACTAGAATCAAATCACTTTCTTCCAAGTAAGATTATAAGAGAAGTCTTAAGTAACAGGTTGTTGATTTTTATTGGTTATATATAAAGCCAGCTCTAAAACAAAACATGTAAGCTGGAATTTTAAGTGGATAGTTTACCCTTTCAGAATTAGCCAGGGAAATAGTTTTGCTGTGTATAAATCAAAGCATCAGGATTACAATGTTTTAAATTTAAGTTACATTTAAAAAAGAATATTAAATCCTATTCTATTTAGTTACATAATTAAACAAAGCTTTTAAAAATATGCCAGAGAAAGGATAAGAGATAAACAAAACCATTGGGAGTTGAAGTTCAACTAAATATCGGGCTGCAAGAAATCAATTTTAAGAAGCCAGTGCTTAGATATCAAAACAGCTGAACCAAGGAGGCAAATATATACAACTAAAACAATAGTAAATCAAGTTTTACCAGTTCTTCAAAAAAATATATATATACTGATAACTCAAAAACACACTGAATTTAGTTATAAATAAGAAAAAATACATTTTCTATGTAAAATAAGTGATACAACAAAGTTGATTATTTTTTCATGTTTAATGTGAAAAGGATGATCTCATGACATTTACAAACCAAATACTAGGCATTATGTAGTATTAATTTTGATGGCTATGTTACATCAAAAAATAATGTGATAATTGGTGGCACAGTATGATTTTCAAAAGTGCTATAAAACAGAAATATTGGGAATTCAAATACACATTACTGAGGAGCTGGGGATAGCTCTGCAAGGCCCCAATGGCAAACTTTACATGTTAGCAAAATAATCAGAAGTTGCTAAATTCTTTTTTCCTTGTATTAAAATAGTGACATAGATGACAAATAACAGGATCTAAGATACCCTAAATTAAAATACTTATACAAGTTTAATAATGTTTTAGACCAAACCAAAAAAAAAAAAAGAAGAAGAAGAAGAAAGTAAAGAAATTAATCTTATTCTAAATTTAATTTTTTTTTCCTGTTGGTTCTTAGTCCCCCCCACCTCCCATCATTGGTTCTTTAAAACAAAGCAAAGACTCTGTGACACAGTAACTTTAATTAAAATTAAAAAAAAAAAAAAAGGAAAAGTCTGCTTTTTTTGTAGCCTTTGCTGTCTTCCATATAGACTGGGTAACATTTAATCAAAGCAACAAGTTATCCCTGTTATTTGAAATATCTTCCTGTTAGTTCCACAGATATATTTTGTACTATTAAATGAGGAAGAAAGTTGGATAATTATCTCAGGAATATGCTGCCTTGTCTGAAATTTGAAGTTCAAAGTAGTTTATCCGAGACATCTTATCTTTGGGCCATTAAGACAATACATTTCATTAAAATTATACCAATCTTCAGGCAGATGTCTAAAAAAAGGGTTCTTAAGAAACAAATAATGAATTTTGAAGTTAGCAAGTTGACATCCTTTCTAAAATTACGGGAATAGTTATTCAAAAAATTAAATTTGTAAGTTTTTACAAGATCATTCTAAAATAAGTAATAAGTAGCCACCACTGATAATAAAAGTTATCTAATGATAAGAATTACATATTTGGTCAAAAAATAAATTATTAACCTGTAATGCTAATTACACAATAATGAAAACAAACTGTTTCCAGAAATCATTTGCTTAAGCTGATGGTTGGACAATGAAAACATATTTCTGAATCTACAGACTTCAAATACAAGTAAAAGTACTAGCACTATTTGTTTTTTCCCCTAAGCTGTAAGCATTAATGTTTCTATTCATAAGATAACATTTTCCTTCTAAGTACGAAATAGATAAAATAGTGGGAAGCTTAAATACTCTTAAATATTTCAATCAAACACCCAAAGCAAAGTATTTTGCCAATGCAGGGGAGGTATCCACAGAATATCAGCCACATGTCTGAGAGAGGCAGTCTGATCTACGGGGTTACTGTTCACAGTGGCTAACATCACATGCGCTGTGTTTACGGGAACTGCTCCATTGACGTGGAAGGAATGCCCTATCTGGATTTTATATGCTCCCTGTTTACCTATCTTTTAAAATTCAATAAAACCAACTAGGTTTTCTTTTAAACATAACTCATTTCACTTGAGGGTAGTATCTTGTTTACCAATAATATTTGGCAATAAAGGACAGTATGGCATTCACAGGCTTTTAGCTTTATACAGAAGCTTGGCTAAAAGTTAGACAACATAAAAATGCATACCACTAATAAACAATCCACCATCTTTAAGAATTTAAATATCTAATATCATGAGAGTGAGCTTTAGATAAGAATATTGCAATATTATATTAGCAAGCTTTCTTCTCTATGCCTGGACACAATTTGCTATTCCTAAGATAGTGCCATTAGAATTATTTTTCAGGATTCCTGTGGAGCTGTACTTATTTTACATCCATGTGAACTGCTGTCATCACTACTGTGTCCAAGCCCAGAGGATGAACTGGAAAAGAAGAGAGGGGGAAAATAATAAAAAGAGGAAATTGGTTTTCACAACACACTCAAAGCCTGAGTAACAGAGGAGAACTTTAATTATCTCCAGTCACAAAGAGAGACAGGAAATTTGGACTTTTAATTAGCCATTTGGAGTGCAGTTGGATATTTTTTTAGCTAGATAATTTAAACGCGAATAATTCAAGTCTGACTAAATGAAAGTCACATAATCAGAATGCAGATAATTGAATTTCTACTGCATTCATTAATTCAGTGTGGAGGTGTGTGTGAAGACTACTATGATGAGCTGTCACAGCTCAATAAAATCTCAGTCAATTAATTTTTTCATTATCTTAGTATTACATCAACAAAAAAGCGAAGTATGTGTATATATCTATACACATGCCTGTGTGCACTGTGTGTCGTACAAATACGTATATATTAAATCAAAACGCAAGGAAATACCTTTCTGAATCGTAATCTACATCATTTTCTTTTCTCCCTTCTTCATCTTCTTCAGGGAAACGTCTGTTCATCAAGGCAAATTTGTGAATTGCTTCTTCCACCGAGTACTTGGTCTGCCCAGAAACACAGGCCTCAATGTCGTCTGAGTTCAGATGGCTCTGCAAGAAGAGGTGAAGGCTGCTATCTGAAAGCAAAAGTGCATTCTGCAGGACTCTATGTAAAAGAAAGAAAGGAAAAAAAAAAATAATCGGTAAACTGGGGACGGACGGATCCCGGGAAGGAAAAATAAAAAACCTTAGAAACACACCACAGAGTAATTTCTGTACTGCAGGAAACTTTGCATCAATTATGGGTTCTTCCCATTAAAGGGATGAAAGCATATGTTAACTTTTATTCAATTATTTGGAAATTTAGGTGAGTAAAAACATGAAGCTAATAGTTAAGAACATCTGTTAAAAGAATAACTTCAAGGACATTTGTTCAATTTAACCATCTGTTATGACCATGTGGATTAATTATGGAAATATTTTGCTTATATAGTCATAAGAATTTATTCTACTTAAAAAAATTTACTGCCAACAGCATGTTAATTCAGGCATCTTTATTGGATAGGCTGTCACGAAACATCAAAACTTTTAACTACTATTAAAAATTATAAGAGAAATCCAATATATTTCTCAGCATGTTTTACATTTTAAAACTTCACACGTATACATATGTTCATAAGTATATGCTTATTGGGGCTCACTTTTTTTAATACCCAGTTCTGATTAGAAATTTCTCCAAAATCTTCAGCAGCACTGCATCTCCATATCGTCAAAACAAGTAACCAAATAAAATTGATTCCAGCCAATTTTACCATATAGAACTAAAATATGATAAATTTGTGCTCGATTCTTACTAAATTTCCCCACGACAAATTAACCTTTACAAAAGTAATACAGATTTCAGCTATATCAGAAGTTCATGGAGGACTAAAAACTACACTGTAGCAAAATCTGTACATGCTTAAACTCATATTATCAGTGAATGTGTTTTTATCTGAAATACATGTCTGAGAATAGGAAATCAAGTATAGACTTTAACAGAAACTGGTTTTATCTTCATAGCAAAGGTTTTGATGTATGACCATCTAGTCTTTTTTAATAGTTCAATTACGGTATAATAGGAGACACAAAGATCAGATATAGGAGATAATACTAGAACACTAAACCTAAATATGATTTTGCCTAACATGGGATTTTTCACCTAGAGATCTATGAAAAATAGATCATATATTTCAGACCAAATGAACCTTACCTTATATTTTGCATGTTTAAACAAGTAATTAGAAAAATAAATCTCTCTGGCCATTAATATCAATTTAGTTAAACTCCAAGGTCATTAGAACACCAAATCCTTTTTTTTTTTCAAAATAAAGCAATTATTTCTTCAAGAAAGCAAATGCACATATCAAAACTAAACTCTAGCCACCACCTCCTTTGCTTCAATAGGTTTATAAATGTAGTTTGAGAAAGTATTCATTCATTACTAGTCTGCTAAAACAAAAACTAAGACCTTTGTGCTTTTTAAGAGAAAATTTCAAGCAAAGCAGCTAAATACTTCCCCTCTCTGTGCCCTCTGCCCTGGGTTCTCCCAGAAGATGACCATGTCACAGGATAAAGATTAATTTACCATGTACAAGTAGCCAAGTAGTAAAATCCCTTTTACTACTCAAGATTTATTTTCTACATTTGTAAATGTTTACCATTTTGTTTTAAATACTTCAAATTAAGAGAAGAGTTATATCGCAACAACCCACTTATATGAACTTGGACTCCCTGTGAAGTTTGAGCAGAGCATTTCCTGTGGCCTCCTGTCGGCAGTTTCCTGCCAGCCATGGGACAAGTAACTGTTCATAGGATTGTGCTCGCAGCTTTGTGTCTGTTGGAAATGTGTTTTATTTTCTTTATAAAATAATGGGTAATCTTTAAAATTGATTTTAGATGGTTTGAGGCATTGCACCACAAAAGTAATGAGCACTAATGTCAATGATATTGGACACAAATTCATTTTAGCTTTATTTCACGTCCAAAGCAATTCTACTGAGCCTTGAACTGCTCACACACTGTTATTAACTTGCTAGTAACCTAACACATGGGTACAGCAAACAAAAGTGATCAGAGTCCAGGTTGATCAGGACCTCAAGGCTACTGTCCTTTTTTCTTGAGCTATAATTCAATTTCCAATTTTACTGTACATTAGACTCATTATTTCCCAGTGTTTTCTGCATAATACTGCCACCTAGAGGACACACAGTTAAAAAGAGAAGGGGCTGGCGGCCCAGCTCACATACATGGAAGAAGATGAGGTTGGGGAGGAACATTCCCACAGGCCAGAGTTTCAAAACCAGTGTGTCTTCAAGGCATGGTTTTTGTTTGGGGGACCTCTTTTCTCTGTGGCTAAAGGTATGCCACCATACTGCATGAGCATGAATCTTAAACAAGCAAATCTATTTTAAATATGTTTACACTTTTTATTTTACAGTCGGATATTTCATTGCAAAATTTAAAATGAAAAATTTGCAAAGTGTTTCCCCCATTTAGTTCAGTGAGCATGATTGGTTCCTTTAGAGTAACAGTCAGTTTACCATCTATCAAAGAGGGTTGTGACTGCCACAATCATAATACTACGTCCTATTTTTTCCTTAGTCATATTTGTGCCACTTTTCCACAAACAAATCTAATAGCAGAAAATCAACTTCAAACTCAATATAAAGAATACTTTGTAAAACAGTCAATAAAATGTCATTGTTAGAAGGCCCCATAAAAATAAATATATATGATTTTGAAGCCTTTATAAAAGGAACAAAAAAACAGCCTCTAGAGTTTTAAAGGAATTTCTGAAAATATATTTATAATGAAAGTCAAAATTTATTCCTTTCTCCATAACAACTTTAAAACAAAGCAAAATCTGCTTTTTCCTTGAATTGGACACAGTTGAAAATCTGGTTGTCCTCAACATGATTTTATTAGGTGTGTTACATAGTGGTTCAGTTGGGAACAATATACAGCTACACAAAATCATTTAATCCTAACTAAAGATGTCCTGAGTCTACTGAACCCAATATAATGATATCTATACACATCTGTACAGTGTGTGGAACGTTAGCAGTTTGATGTAGAAAAAAATTAATTCAGCCTCTTTACCTCTTACCAGGAGAAAAAAATTTCTAAATTTTAGAAACCCTATAAATCTTCACTGAAGATATTCATGATCTGTGCTGTGGTGCCCTCTATTGAACACAGAGACTTATAAAATGTATATGTGTGTGTGTGTGTGTGTGTTTACAACTAACTGTAATGTTTCAGTGGTAGTCTTTTATTTAAAAAAAAGAAAACTAGCACATGTGAGGCACTGGGTTCGATCCTCAGGACCACACAAAAATAAATAAATAAAACAAAAGTTTTGTGTCCATCTACAACACACACACACACACACACATATATATATATATATATTTTTTTAACTTTAAGAAATACCAAACCACAATAATCGTAGGATGAATGTAGTTATATTAATAGGAGCATTCAGTAAAGAGGGAAAGCCAGCTCCCACCCATGATATCTAATAAATGTAAAAAATTAGTCTGGGGCTGGGGATGTGGCTCATGCGGAACGCACTCGCCTGGCATGCGCGGGACGCTGGGTTCGATCCTCAGCACCACATAAAAATAAAGATGTTATGTCCACCAAAAACTGAAAAATAAATATTAAAAAATTCTCTCTCTCTCTCTCTTAAAAAAAAATTAGTCTGAATTCCACTGTTCATAGTTGGAGACTTACCAACAGAGTATAATAATTTTAGTCCATATCTTTCTTTTTCCTGAAACTATCACAAGTGACTTTCAATTTATAATTAGGGGAAAGAATATAAAAGGAAGATTATAGTCCAAGATTGAGGAAAAACAAATACATTTGAAAAATTCCACAATCATACTGGCCAATTTTAGCTAGCAGTTGAGAGTTCTGCTAATTATAAACTTGCCAGTTCCTAGAATTAATAAAGTACCTCCACTTTTCCTATAATTTCCTTATCTGAAAAACTGAGATAAAACCCAATTCCTAAGACTGTTGTAAGTACTGAGATAAAACACGTAAAATGCCAAACACATAGCAAGTGTTCAATAAATGATATATTCTTATTTGTCACCTAATCAAGCAACAGTTTTCTAATTCCTCTATGAAGACAGCCTGAATTTGTACTTTGCTGTTAAATATGCATCATTTCACAAATGACCATAAAATGAAAAAAGTACATTTTATATAACACACATACACATAAAGAGACATTTTGGTTTCACTGAGTTTGAACACATATAGTGCTTCTGGTTCATAACTTCAAAACTTACATAAAACCTCATTTTTAAAATACATGCTAATCCAGACATTATTACCCTTTATATGTGAGTGATTACACTACTAGAATAACTCTTAACCACGTACAGCCAGAGGAATGAAAAGTTGTGCTCCATTTGGGTACTGTATGTCAAAATGCATTCTACTGTAAAATAAATAAATACATTTTAAAAATAAAAATATGTGCTAAAAGTCTACAACACAAGCTTATGTCACATTTTAATGTTGTGATTCCCAAAGGTCCTCTACAAATAAGACAGGAGGTATTTATGGATAAACTTAATGGGTAAACAACAACACCTTAAAGGATGCCTGGCTGGGTCAGGTTCGGTGCTGAATTACACAGCACATGCAGTTTCCCTAATGGGCTTGGGTAGATGAAGAGAAGGAGCTCTGGGGACAAAGACACAGAAGATGGCTATTTGTGCACAAACCAAAGAACAGGAGAGTTGTGCGTGGAAATCTGGGGGTCACAGAAAGGAGAGGCCACAGTTTAGGTCAACTGAGTGGTATCTGACTCCTTGCCTCCTGCAAGTTCAAAGCATGGAGAAGCATCAGCTTTCTAATATGAAACTAATTACTCTGGAAACAAACATTCACCTACTATTGCAAAACAAATAACATACAAGTGAGCTGCATGTCTGTTGCATGATTTCACTTCTAGATGATCCAGATCCAATATTAATGCATTAAGCCACAGCCCTGATATGTCCATAGTGCTTCCCCATTAGAATGGAAGCTTCGAGGACAGAAGAATTTGGGTCCATTCTGTGCAGGTCTCTATCCCTGGCACACAGCCTGGCCCAACGCAGTTTCTTAACAAATATCTGTTGAATGAAAGATTACCATAGGGTTTCCAGAGTCCTTTCTGGGCCATCATCTGAACAGACAACCACCGTGAGGTTGGCAATGCATAGAATGTATTACCCTGTACCACAGAAAACCGAAGGAATTAAGGGACTCGAAAGAACTAAGTGAGGGGCTGGAGCTGGAGCTCAGCGGTAGAGTGCTCGCCTCATACATGAGGCACTGCGTTCGATTCCCAGCACCGCATATAAACAAACAAAATAAATAAAGATCAATCAACAACTAAAAAAAATATTTAAAAAAAAAGAACTAAGTGACTTTCAAGATTCTGTAATTAAGAAAAAAATCAAGAGCCAAGATTTATGAGAGACCTAGAACCCAGGTCCTCGAGCTCCTAAACCAGTATACTTTCCATATGACGTCTGCAAATAACCAAACAATACTGTGCACAAAAATGACCTGCACAAGCACAATTCCATGGTGACCAAAGGATACTCACTGGGGTCGTTAATTTGGGTAAAGCAATGGTAGATGAAAAGGTTGTGTTCAAAACAATTAAATGACTTCTAGTCAAAAACACATGCCCTATGCTTAACTAATGACAAATACAGGGACAGGTGCTGTCCTTTAATCTCAAATAAGACTATACTACAGAAGATAAGCCACTCCTCGGTGCTGGCCAGGATTTGGGGATTCAGACACCCCCTCCCAATTCTCCCTGGTGATGGCCAGGCCACAGCTTCCCTGGGGCAGCATCTGGAGTGAAGGCTACTCTGCAAACTTGGGCTGTAGGGACCTTATCTTAAGGCCATCAGCCACCTGGGCCCCATGGAAACAATTAAAATCAGAGCTGTCCCCAAAGGGGAAAGGCAGAAAAAACTTGACCAGCTCTTTGTTCTGTCACGCTTGTAACACCCAAAAGAATACCACAGTAATGTTTTCAAAGGCCTCGGCTCTTTCCGTTCTCCTGGTCTCTTCTCTTCATATTTATTCCTCTGACTTCTCTTCCTTTCCCTGCCCTCCTTAAATTCATAAGCTTGAATCTCTCTGCGTGTCTCTATGACCCCTTCAGAGGAAAGGCACTATGTCAATCTAATAGAAATAAATATTAATATTCATGTGCATACTTAATACCCAGAGCCTTTATGAGTGAGCCATATGGGGAGAAGGCAGTATATTATTTCAGGCTAGCTCCAGGGACCTATTTAGTGAACTCAAAAGGAGATGATTTCAGATCCTGAAGCCACTAGAAAAAAAAAGCATGAGTGTTCAGGAGACCAAACCTGCCACTAACTAGTAGTCACATGGTCTACCCCATTTCCTTGTCTATAAAAAAGGGACTTAGAAAATAAGCTCAATGCTACTTCATGTCTAAATGCATTAAAACAATAATTATCAATACTTAGACATTATATGCCAGACATATCATATACCAGATACTACTTAACGTGGGTGCTTAACGTGCATTAACCCAACCAATCCCCTCAATGACCTGAAGGGTAGGTTACCCCATTTTACAGATGGGAAAACACAATTGCAAAACCAGGATTTGAACACAGGCAGCCTGGCCTGTTTGCAAACCAGAGTGGCACAAGCCTCCTGTTGGACGGCCATTCTGTCATTTCAATGAGCGAGACAATGGAAATCCTAGTAGTGTGAATTCAAGTGGCTCTATGGAAGTACGGCTCTCACAGAGAACTCTATAGAGTTAACCCACTGGGATTATTCAAACACCACCAATACTCCTTTACAAACATTCCCTCTAAAGGAAAAAAAATCAAGCCACTCCCTTATAAGAGCCCTGAAGGGTGTAAGCAGACCACTGTAAAAATGATTTTGGCCTGCCAATCTTAAATGCTGTAAGGAAGACAGTTTTGAAAAAGTGCCTTTTTAAGGCACATTTGTTTCTTGGCAAATTTTACTTCTGTCAGCTGAACTCCCAAGTAATTGGTATTTGCTTTACATCTCAAGGGCCCAAATATTTATCCTCTGATTCAATTATTCATTGTTCCTTTTCACAAGACTCAGTCCCATGTGTATCATGTGAGCCACAAGATGGCGCTCTAATACAGGCAATGAATGTGTGCGCCTGGCTGGAAAGCAGAGAGGGGATTTCAGAAACAGAACCGTCCTCCCAGACAGGACCAACTGACCCCTACTGAGCAATTTGCTGTCTGACCATAGAATTTCCATATACTTACTTTCTGAGGAAATCTTCCAAACCCTGGCGACGCTGATCAACGTGTTGGCGATTGTTCATGTTGAAAAACAGGTTTTTAGATGGAAGTTCTGGCAATTGTCTTATGAGAAAGAAAAAAAAAATTTTTTAATGACCAAATCAAGGTGACTTAGTTACAGAAATCCCTTAAAAAGAAGGAAAATTATGCATAATAATAATTAGCACACAGCTATTATATATGCAGAAATCAATTAACTTTTTTAAAAAATATTTAAATATTTTTTGGGTCTTTCATGGTCAGTATTTGTGAAAACATGGCAAATTTCAAATTCAGATGCAGTAGCCTCAAAACTAACTAAAGTCATATAGGCAATCAAGAAGCTAATAAATCATTTGTATTTTATATACTTAATGCATATCAATCTTTAAATAATGACTGTCATAATAATAAAGTCTCCTCAATATGTTCTTTAAATTACTTACACCAGCAATGCATTATTTTGGAGTCTCTGCCTCAGCCACACGAATTCTCTATATCTTCTGCGTACACAGGATGTTTTCATTGTAAAACACATGCTATTAGTCTGTATAGAAAAATAGAAAAATAGGATCTTCATCTGAGGAAAAAATGCTTTCCTTAAAACTCATAATAAAGATTCAAATATTCATTCTAGATAGGATGTAAACCACCAAAAATATATTTACATTTATGCCAATACTCTGAAATCTTGCATGTAACTCACCAAAATCTCAGCCCTGAGGTCAGCCAAGATGGCTTTCGTGAGAAATGTGGTCCCAGGCTGTGCATGGCCCAACCACACCCTGAGCCCTGAAGGAGTCTCCTGCTCATCTAACTATGAGCATTGACATCAAGGATGAATTACAAAAAAAAACAAATTCTAAAATGCCAATGACCATTAAGAACTCCTTGACATGGCTGTTCCTAGGGATCACACAAGTCACCAGGTATCGTGAAATCACTGCTCCACTGGAGAACAGCATTTCTCTTCTCTATTGGACACGAGGGGGAATGCAACCCAAGTCAAGAGGGAGGTGCAGGGATCGTGGGGATGGGCATGAGCATACAGGCAGAATAGGCAGATCCAAATTCCAGGCTTGGTTCTGCTAAAGGGCAAGTCACTTGGACTTCAGTTTCTTGAGTGGTGAAACAGGGACGGACTAGTACATACTTATTTTACAGGGTGGTTGTAAAGACTGACAAGAAGCACTTGACAAATGTTGTCTACCAATATTATTATTAGTTACTAACAGTTGATTTCCTTGTAGCTATCCTGAGACAGACTTGGAAAAGGCCACTTATTGAGTCCCCATTCTAAGCTAAGCCCTAACTAATGTTTCTCCTTGGGGTAAACACAAGATGGGTAAATACTATTCTTTGGGAAAAACAAGAAACTGACAAATATTTTTGTCTACTGGTTTCAAAAAAAAAATACTCCTATTCTCTATTTACTCTCTATATTTGTATGAAACTCTATTTCATAATCTTTACAATTCCAAATGAGAAACTTATTTTTCCAATAAGATCTGTATTACTTCAAAAATTATTACTCTGCCAATTAATAAGATCAGCAGCTGTTTTCCTTGGGAGATCTAAGTGATTATGTGCAACTGTTCCCATGAAATGTCTGACATAGTACCTGATATGTCTGAACTTTATAAAGTTCAGAAAACCTCAGGTCGCAGAGAAGTTAAGAGATTCACCTTCACAGGAGCCACTGGTCTAAACACCATCTTTGCTGACATGGCAGCAAACATGCTAGAAGGAGTCGAGGGCACAACAATGTTCTGTGGTTGGATTTCCTAGCACACCAAGGTCTCACTTCGAGGTGCTCCTCAGGGACTAAGCAAGCAGGCTGTGTTACACCAGAATTAGAGCCCTAATGAGGTTTGGGCAGATCCCCTCCCAGTATCTTCCCCCCAGAGAATACCAGGCCACTGCCGTGCCTCCTGACATCCCCATCACAGGCTGGGTCAACTTAAATTCCCTTTAATTTCCCTCCTCACAGTCACTAGATGTTAGTAAACAAAGATCCACCTCATACCTATATCAGAATAAGGTCTATCTATGAGCCCCTTCATTCACAGGACAAGTTCAGGAGAATATGAAAAAAAATAAAAATAAAAAAATATATATATATGTGATGTACTACCCAGCTCTATCACCTACTAGTTTAAAATTCCAAGTAAATGTCAAAATTTCAGAGTCCCCTGATATTACTTCCCTTGAGGTTAATTTAAGCAAGTTAATCACCAACTTCTCTAAGCAAAGCTCCATCAGTACAGCATCTAACAGAAGCCATCTAGAACTCTCCAGCCCCATCATCCACTTTGAATTGTACAGTGGGCAGGCACCTCTTCAGCATCAGACCATACTGAGATCACTAACTGATGAAGTTCCTTGGAATCTGTTTGCTAAGTTTTGTTCATTGTCAATTTATTAGCATTTCAGAGATGTGCCAGAATACCACCAAATAATTTGTGGAGCCCCATAATTTGGGGCTCCAGATACAGGTTTCTGAATTCGAGGCATGGTATTCATTAGCTTTCACCATCTTCTGAGAATAATTAAATTTCATGCCTCCCATAAGATGGGTGATAAGGACTCAATTTTTTTAGAGGCAGTTAAGGGCAACTAAAGAATATCATTGTATTTCAAATGCTTATTCTTATATGCTCATAATTTTCCACACAGAACACACCTCTGGTGTGAGCTTATGAATAAAACCAGAAGAAAATAAAAATATATAGCATACTCTCACAAACATTTGCAATGCAACCACTAAATACAGGCAGTTCTCAATTTTAATTTGGTATATTTCCTAAATTGGAGAATTTTGAAAAGAAAAAGAAAATTTATGACTCATGTTGGGGTGTCTCATATACCAACTTAGCTGTTCACAATGATAAGATTAAATGATGGCTAAATTTTATTTCACTTGTGCTACGTTGTCACAGATAAATTCTGAGCCAGTTCCTATTCTCCTAAGAGAAGTCTGGACTAAATAAATTGGGAAAAGAGACTATCTTCAAGATCCAGGGCCAATAAACCACAGCCCATGGACCCAGTCTGGCCTGCCACTGTCTTTGCAAATAGTTTTACAAAACACAATTGATTGGTTCACTCATGTACGGTCTAAGGCTGCTTCTAACCTCCAACAGCAGAAACGGTGGCTGAAGAGAACAGAGGCAAAGGTATTCAGAGCCTGGCCCTTCATGGGAAAATTTTGCTGAGCCTTGTTCAAGATGATCACAGAAGGCCACACACCACAAAAACCATTCAACAGATTACAATACATGGTTATTTCCAGATAAGGTATATCATTTCTAATTGCCTACTCCTGATGTTAATTACTCAGAATCTAGATTAAGGCAAAATAATTGCATATATTCATTTCCTACTTTCTGATTCTGTGTATAAAATATTACCCTTCCTTCTCCCAGGAACTCTGTATCCTCTCAAAACTTCAGGTTTATCATCCAATATATTCTCCAGAAACACATTATAACAGATCATAAAGAAACATCATTAATGAGGTATAAATACTCTTAAGCCATGAATTTTAGATGTATTCACATCTTTATAAATGAAGGCAGTAAACATTAAAATATTAATATTTTTAAAAGGTACAAAAAGGATGTCACTAAGCAATTTTCCAGCTGTAGAAATCATCTTATTACTTCATTTAAGACATAAGCATTTGTTGTAACCATTCAAATTTAGCTCTTTGAATTAGGAAAGCTTTTATAAGTTTTAATTTTAATTATCTCAGAGCAACCCATAAAACAGATGCTGCCTTAAAATTTCTGATTTATTACATTGACCACAGATTGCCTACTTACATGGATACATATCTCATAGTCAATATATGAATGCCAAAAGTCCTCCTTCTGAATCCTAGGATCTCGGACCCAGACGCTGACAAATTCCTGTAAGGGCATCACAAAGAAATGTGTTTCAGAATGGCAAGTAAAGACTGGAAAGATCTGAGAAAAATGACTGTATGAGAACAACATTAGCCAACGTACGTGTCATACTTTAAAAAAAAAAAAAAAAAAAAGAAGAAGTAAAGTTCATGAATCAGGCACCACAAGCAAGTTCAGAAAACACTTAGCCACAAGTGGAATTTTTAAAATAATGCAAAACTGACCGGGCCTGCTTACAGGTAATGTTATAGGTAACTGAAAACAAACAGAAAGATATGCTCTAAAACTTATTTTTAACTTGTAATCATAAAAAAAAAAAAAAGTTTATAGTTTTCACAAATTTTAAATGCAGTCATTTCTTACTTTCATTATCTCTAAATTAAAACTACTGTCCATGTCTGACAGATTTCTTTCTGGAACACAAATAAGGAAAGGCAGCCAAGGTCAGGTGCAAAGTAAGCAATGAGTTGAAACTGACTATGTGTGAGCAGCCCAGCCTCGAGAATCTGCAGTGGTGACTTACTGGAAAGATGAACACCCTCTCTTACACAAGACTTTCCTATTTTTAAAATATATTTCCAACATATTAAAGCAATTCATTCTCATATATTTGTGTTCCAAGTAAAAGAGATGTTTAAAAAAAAAAGCATCGCTATGGTTAATTTTTGTGCCCCTTTTTAAAGATAAGAACAGGCAATAGGAGACGGCATTGAAACCAATACTTTTTAAAAAGTGCTCTTTACTAAGTTTAAAATATGAAAACATATGCAGCAAAAGAGTATTGTTTGGCATCATAAATGTTCATATATAACTCATTCACTCAGCAATCACAAATTTGCTAATGGAATTTTAAATATTCTAACTTTTTGTTAAGATTGGGGCTGTCAGCTGACACACAGGCCTCTGTCTGGTTTTAGCATGTCCAAGAGGCAGACTGAGAGGCTGAGCCCAGGTTCTTTCCTCTTAGTGTACACTTTGCACCAGTCACCTGTTGCTGTGGGTGTGTATTTAAACTCATTTTCCTGTAGTACTTTTTTATGCAGATAATAAAATGGGAGCTTTCAGTCCAGAGTATATTTTAAAAGCAGCAAAGTAGTCCATATTCCCCGAAAATACTTTCCACCACCTATCAAGTATCACCTTCTAAGGCATTATATACTTGATTCTTGCATTTGAGACTTGTGTCCTACTGCTTGCCCTCAGTATATAGGTATTATGAGATAATGTCCCAAAAAGGTATATCTTTTTTTGTTTGGGGTTTTTTTTTTTGGAGGGGGGGGGTACCAGGAATTGAACTCACAGGCATCAACCACTGAGCCACATCCCCAGCCCTATTTTGTATTTTATTTAGAGACAGAGTCTAGCTGAGTGGCTTAGCTCCTGTCTCAGCCTCACAAGCTGCTGGGATTACAGGCATGCGCCACTGTGCCTGGCTCCAAAAAGGTAAATCTTAAAAATCTCTTCACTGTGTATTTTTTAAATCAATTTAGAAGCAGAGAAAAAAAAATAAGGTAAAAGTAGATCAATACTTTAAACATTTTAGCCGTAATTTCTTTTTTTTTTTTTTTTTAGAGAGAGAGAATTTTTTAATATTCATTTTTCAGTTTTCGGTGGACACAACATCTTTATTTTATTTGTATGCAGTGCTGAGGATCGAACCCAGCGCCCCGTGCATACCAGGGGAGCACGTTACCGCTTGAACCACATCCCCAGCCTGGCCATAATTTCTTAAAAGCATATTCCAAATTATAAGAAGAACTATAAAAATAATTTTAAGCAAAGTATCTGTAATGTCCCCTAATTAAATTTATTGTGATTGAGTCAAGGATAGATAGATCCTGCCCAAAAATTTAACAGAAGGAAAACCTAGGGACTCTGCTTCTTTGCTTTTAACCTTAGTCTTGAGTGCGAGCGTGTGTGTGTGTGTGTGTGTGTGTGTTTTAAACTCATTTTCTTGCAGTCCTTTTCACATATACACAGTTCTTAGAAGGAATCAATGAATCAATGAACAGAAAGATCAATAGGTTAGGAAAAGGAGAAGACCATAAGTCCACATCCCCCCTGCTGCCTCCCCACCCTGCACATACTCAGCGCTGAATTCTAGCTTTCACAGATCTTGGGCATTTTTGCCTTCACAGATCCTTTCCTCCACACAGACACAAAATTTAAAAAAAAAAATCACACTTTACAACTACACTAGAATACATACAAATACATTAGTATTACATACTATAGCCTTTTTTGATCTAAAGGTTCATTCTTCTGATTTTAAAAGGAATTTAAACATTTTCATGTTCTCTAAAAATAGTGTGTGGGCCCTGGCACCCTGCCTGATGCAGAACTGAGGGATGGATCCCAGTCACAGGTCACATGGAAGCCACGCTCCCTTGGAGGATGTTGGCAGGGTCATTTTTCCCTTGAAGAGGAAGACATTCTTAGATAAGACAAAAAGGGAAATTAACTATTTCCAACAGCTCAGTGTTTCCCTCAGTAGAAGGAAAATAGGCATCTGTTACTGAAATAGTGGGTCTTCATCCAAATTTAACAAAAAGACAGAAACATATTTGTCAATTTGCCACAAATCTGTATTTAAAAAAAAAAATAGGGGCTGGGGTTGTAGCTCAGTGGTAGAGCACTTGCCTTACACACGTGAGGCACTGGGTTCAATCCTCAGCACCACATAAAAATAAATAAAGATATTGTGTCCATCTACAACTAAATATATATATATATATATATATATATATATATATATATATATTTTTTTTTTTTTAAAAAAGTTTCAAACTAAAACCAATAAAATCCAGTTACTGCAATGCCACATACCCCTGGCTACCCGACATAATTAATTGGTAGCAATGGCAAACAGTTCTCTGAAAAGTAAGGGCTGCCCCCTACTTTTTATTCACTATCACCCCAATGTCAACATATAAACTCTGAACAGCATGTCTCTCTTAATGGAAACAGTACTGAATTTCTTGTCATGAGCTCACTTTTTAAATTATAAAAGTTATTCACTGAGCTTCTGTTTCTACATCTGGAAAAATGGGAATAAATGTTTGTCCAACCCTGTTTGTGAGGTGGATCGAATTGTAAAATATTAGTGAAGGATATTTTTCTTTAAGTACTACAGGAATGAAAAGTGTAATTACATAGAAAGAAAAAGGCTACTAGCATTGAGGTCTTTCCTACAGACACTAGAATTAAGAAATTAAGAAATCAATTGCATATCTTTTTTTGAAGTAAAAATTACTAATTTAAGAACCCATTGTCAGAAGAGGTAATCCCAGTGGCCCAGGAGGCTGAGGCAGGAGGATCATGAGTTCAAAGCCTGCCTTAGCAATTTAGCGAGGCTCTAAGCAACTCAAAGAGTGCCTGTCTCAAAAAAATAAAAAGGGGCTGGGGAATGTGGCTCAGTGGTTAAGCACCCTTGGGTTCAATCTCCAACACCAAAAACCAAGCAAAGAAACCCAATAGCAAATACTCTAGCAGCATGATTTTTCAGAAAAAGACAGTTATATCTAAGAGTTAACTAAAGATTTCACAGTACTTATTCCACCCAGTCACTTCATAATATTTGAAAGAGGAATGGACAACACAGTAACAAATTACAGTAAAGAATTTCTTCCTCTTCTCAGTGTGTTCTCAGACCTTATTATCACTTTAATCTTTATATAAGGAAATGTACATTGAATGAATATTCTAAATCCATACAGGGGAAAAAGGTCTTCTAAGAACACAGTTATGCATTTTAAATGTACACTCAAAATTCATGGTGGCACTAGGATTCCAATTTTTTTTCAGTTCTGAAAGGTTTTTTGTTGTTGTTGTTGTTTTGTTTGTTTTGTTTTTTTTTTAAGAGTGAGAGAGAGAAAAGAGAGGGAGAGAGAATTTTTTAATATTTATTTTTCAGTTTTCGGTGGACACAACATCTTTATTTTATTTTCATGTGGTGCTGAGGATCGAACCCAACGCCCCATGCATGCCAGGAGAGCGCGCTACCTCTTGAACCACATCCACAGCCCCCTGAAAGGTTTTAACTTGGTTTGAATGATAAATATCACTATTCTTTTGTGGATGGTAGACTTTTCTTCCCTTTCTATTCCCTGAAACATTACTATACCCGATGCACGGTCCCAGCCTGCTATTCTTTATACCTGTTGCAATTTTAGAGTGACTTCATCCAAACAAATTCAACCACCCTGCATGAGCTTGTAGCTCTCATAGCACCACCCGTCCGTCCCATAAACACTCAGTGTCATAAACACCATAAACATCATTCTGTTCCTCACCTCAGCGAAGAACATCCTCAACAATCCCAGTCAGACTTCTCTTTTTGACTCACCCCCCCCCCAAATCCACACTGACCAAAGCCTTAAGATTCCCCTCCATGGAACTACCCACAATTCCATTTCCTCTACCTCTGCCTTCGTTCAAGGACCTCTTGCCCAACATTAATTGATCTCTGGGCCCATATCCTATGTACCCTCCACACTAAGACAAGAAAGCTCCAAAACACATCTGATGATGTCATTTCCCTGGGTAAAATCCACCAAAGACTCTCCCATAATCTTCAAGATCTAGTTCAAACACCTTAGCCAGCACAAACACCACCTTTCAGGACTTCCCCACTACTTATCTCAAAGGCTAAGCTTGCTCTCCTTTTTTTTTTTTTTCCCAAATATTTTGTTGTTGTTGATGTACCTTTATTTCTTATTTATGTATATGTGGTGCTGAGGATCAAACCTAGTGCCTCAAACATGCTAGGCAAGTGCTCTGCCACCGAGCCACAACCCCAGCCCCAAGGGCTAAGCTTTCGACATTACACACTTCACACCTCCATGCCTCTGAACAAGCCCTTCTCTCTGGATTGCTCTCTGCTTCCCCACCATCACCCTTTTTTTAACCTTCTCTTCTACTATTTTTGGCTAACTCCTATTCATTTCCCACTGCAACTCAGTCACCACTCCAGGAAACCCTTGTCAGACTCTCCTGGTCTAATT